GGTGGTGGTGGAGCCTCCACGGAGAAGAGATCTACCACCGGTGCGGAGAGTGGCAGGTGCCAGAGAACTAGAGAGAAGGGAGTGAAAATAAAGCTTAAACACTGCAATCGCGTACCTATTCGCTTCCGTTTGACTGGCCCAGACACCATTCAGATAGACCTTAGCTATGCTACCAGTCGCTTCAAACCCAAGACTAATTCACTAAGAGAGCTGCGCATGAGTGAGCTGACCGAGTGACCCAGGTCATAATCTGTCTCCGACAGTTTCAGGTACTTAGTATTCGGTTATACCATTCTATTGACTCGTCAATAGGATCATCTATTCTGATGTCTTCACTCATTTATCTGGTTGGTTGCAACTTAATTTACACCAATGGCAAAGATAAGCCATTGGCAATGAGGAACCGACAGATTGATTATAAGGTGATCAACTAAGTAGCTAGACAAATCTTGTGAAAAGTAGCAATCACCAGAAGAAAGAGGCTAGTTACCATAGTATTATGCCCCAATTAATGGGTAAGCGATCCCACCAAATTAGCCGAGCATGGACCGTTTGGCCAAAGGTTTACACCACTAACTTCTTTAGCAAAGTAGGCAACCGCTCTAACGCTACAATGTGTGATTTTCCTCACACTAAGAATGGCTATTTTTTGCTGCCCTAATCACACTCAACTAGTTTTCCGATACGACTAGCTGTCACAAACTGATAAATAACAAATATTACAATAATAAGCGCTTCCATCGTCACAAACAGCCAATTAGGAGAAAACAATTAGTGACACTTGAAAATAGTATTATTTCAATAATTCACTTTTCCATCCTCACTATAAAAATTGCCTCTAATTGATGGGATTTGGGGCTGTGCTTGCAAGATCTGAAGAAAACCCAACAAACAAGAGCTCCGACACAATAAGAGCTTAAATAATCGCCTTCGATGGTCTAGGAGTACACGAATATGCACTTCAAGCATTCACTACCAGCGTCAAAAGCATGCAATACACATCCTTGATCAGTTTGTGATAACCGGTTGGATTAGATCACGCTAGCTGCGTTTGAAGAAATGAGAGCTGTACGATATCTTTAGTCTGATGATACTGAAATTTTTTTAGTTTTTAAGAAGCAGTTGGTCAGTTCAGTGGTGTATTTTTCGGTATCATGGTAGACCAGCAAAATATCCCAGCTGTAATTGACAGTTTTCTTCGGCATTACAAACGAATTGGTTGACCGTAAAATAACACATTTTCTTAATCTAAGAAAATCACATGTTTAGCCTTCGAATGGTGGTTGAATTTGTCAAACAAAAGGAAAACGTGCAATAGGGGCCACATTCGAACGAGTAATGTAAAATAATCATTTGCTGCAAACGGAAGGCAGCAACTACATTAAGTATAAAAAGTGATAATGCTGCCATGATGAGATGTTGTGAGAGTAAGGTCACATGACGTAAAATACGGAAAGCTTGTCTAACTTTAAAAAATTGTCGATAATAAGAGATAAAAGTCTAGGTACCATGAGGATTTGAAATGCCCCAAAGAAGTAGGAAAGAATGAGTGCCAGAGATTCGTAGTTGAACAGAGAAACGTAAGTGGAGAGTAGTTATTCTTCCACGAAGAAAACTCTGTCAAAGAGAATTCCGACTTCTGATTTCAAGCTGATTATGGGATCGAGACTAGCTTTTGAAAGAGTTAGTGCATTAAATGTTTATGTAAATTATCGTCTCACATTTCTCAATAGATTGGACATTTTGGAAATTGTTTTGGATTCAGTTAAAAGCAAACTTACATTTACAACCTTCAAATGTTACAATTGAGGGCTCGAGGGTAGCAACATGCGTCAAGTCTGAAGATCATTAAACATAAAACAGTAAATAAGTTGCGCTATAAATAGATCAACAGAAGATGAATAGACAGCATATCAAAAGATACTTGACGTTTGCAGATCCGACTCCATATGAGATGATAAGGCTTGATATGTCATATTGACCCTGAAATAAGTAAAATATGCGGAACTAAGATTAATTTATCAAATTAAAGCCTTCCCCAGTAATCTACTTCAAAAAGACCAAGAGGCCATGTCGCAACTGCTGGAATAAATCTAAAAATTTACTTGACGTCAAAATCAATTATCTGTTTATGCAGTCGATGCTCATAAAAAAATAGGAAAACACATCGGAACGTACTTGGCATCTCCATTAGTAAGATTCCAAAGCATAAAGTGATATTCCGATATGCCCAGATCGAGTGTGCGTCGTGCAGGTACCCGTTCATCGATATTTGCCGAATAGCATTGAAAGGGGGAGAAACAACGAGCGCTATTCAGAATTTTCCCCGTATCCAAATCAAGTTGCAACCAGTGGTCTGACTTATACCCAGTGGTGTATAGCGAATTAATTGACTCTGGAGACCTTACAACCATTTCGAAAATGGAGCTGTTAATTCGGTAGAGCAGGTCTCCTGACTGATTACCAGGATACTCATACAAACGACCACCGTGTATCTCAGGAATAATTATAACACTGAATGTTAGTGTGAAAGAAAAGTTATACCTACTCTCCAGAATACGCGCAGTCGTTAACTAAACCTGAGTCGTAAATCCACCGAACAGCACCAGTACATCTGTTGACCAGTGTAAATTTGCCATCGAGTGTATAAACAAGCAAAGAATCCTGCAAAGGACATAAAATGAGCACCAACGGCAATTTTACGTACATCAGCAAAAGCTACAGAAAAAATCATGGATATTAAAATGACCAGGTTAGTAAAAGAACGCATTTTTCTTGAATATGACAAATTGCGCTATTCCATGTGTATGTTTGCAGGCTAAATGACGACTCGCACAATTAGAGGTGCGTTTGCTATTTCGCAATATATAACAAACGATTAAAATACACACATATATGTAAAAATTGGCGTAAAGAACTCGCTCAGCATAAAAATGTGGCTAAGACATAACTTTCGCATGACATGAAAGAGGATTTAGAATCCAATTTTTGCAAATGTTAAAAATTGTTTATCGACACACATCCAGTATATTCAAGATAAATTAGGTATTCACAAACT